GTTAGTTTATCTGAGGACTTTGTCAGTCACTTGTTTATGTCTAGTAGATTCTTGAGACATAGTGAACTACTTAGAGCACTTACACACATACACATAAACTTGTACATATTTGTAATATCTTATTAAATGTTAATGTACGAGACGGTACTTGAGAATTATAAATGTGATATGTGCTTTCAGCACAATAATACTGTACTCGAGAGAGATTGATATTATTTTGAGAACTGTGATTAATTTAATTTAATTTAATTTGATAATATACCTCTAGACTTAATAAATTTATTAAATTTTAATTTCTCTAGTTAGTAGCCTACCAGTTGTAATCCTAAGGAACTATTGAATTATACTGAATTCTAATGGATAATTGGACAAGGATACTGACTACTTGTTACGAAAACCCAGTAACAGGCTGGATGCTAGAAGGGCAGTTCTTTCTAGTATTCACTGTAGATCTCTAAGCTTTTAGAATCGGGTTTTTTGTAACAGCCATCCACATGTAATTCTTGAGGTCCCGCAAATATCCTGTCCCATTTCTTCAGCAGGAACGTGTCAGCAGTTTCTAAATTACAGATTGAGGCCGAAATATACCAATTGACCTTTGAGAATGCCTGATTACAGTGCACAATTCGGTCAGTGTTCACACATTAAATTCAATATGGCATCTTCCTTCCGGCATCACTCAGCAGCTGTTCTACACCCTCCTTCACTCGAAATTTCTCGAAAGAATCAAATCAGCATCATATTTTATTACACAATTATTGTATTATTAAAATTTACACATGCTGAATTTAGAAAAAAATCAAAATTTTCCACAGCTATCATATTTTGCGAACATTTACCTAACATTTCATGGCAACTTTTTTGCTCTCTCGGACCCTCTACTGTATTTACCCTTGATATAATCAATCAAGCGGTATCTCCTTCGACTGAATTAGACAATAATATACAATATCTTTATTTACTACAAGTACATGGTATACAGGCCTAGCTGACATAAATGACATAACCACTTAACCATACCCCCGGCCGGGATTGAACCCGCGGTCATAGAGACTCTATGACCGCGGGTTCAATCCCGGCCGGGGGTATGGTTTGTTTGCAATCGTGTCATTACGACGACATAACCACTTGTTATGCTGAGCATTTTGGGCAAATTAGGTCAGTTTTCTCCCAGGATGCGACCCACACCAGTCGACTAACACCCAGGTACCCATCTTAAACTGATGGGTTAAAAGGGACAGGGACAGCAGATGTCTTGTGGAAACACGTCCCTAATGTTTTCCAGCCGTACCAGAGGAGATTCGAAACCCGGCCCTTAATGTGCGAGCTGACTGTTTAGCGATCGAGCTACGGGACACCATGCCTGTATAAGAGAGATTCACCTCATTCATTGCATACATATCATGTTTGCCATATGTTATCCCACCATTGTGTATAAGTTTTCCCAGTTGTCAATGAATGGATGGAATCCCAAGTTCCTTGTACTGGTAGCGCTTGTCTAACCAGTAATTTACCCAAATTGCCCTAGACATCCATTCACTGCCTGCTCCCCTTCTAGGCATAATGCTACATGATCAGGATCTCTTAAGGATTGAAGTATTCTTGTCTGGTGGTGGGAAGGTTCAAGTTCGTGAAGTCTTAATGACACTCGTGCAGTCGATAAGCTTTAGACTTCATTAACCTAACTGACAAGAGCGTGTTAGAGAAGCATTGGAAGCTGGTGAAGTTCAGTGTTGGCCAGGTGGGTATACCTGGAGGCCTGGAGTATACTTGGAGAGGGTTTCGGGGGTCAGTGCCCCCGCGGCTCGGTCTGACACCAGGCCTCGTGGTGGATCAGGGTCTGATCAACCAGGCTGTTACTGCTGGCCACACGCAAACTGACGTACGAACCACAGCCCAGCTGGTCAGGTACTCACTTTAGGTGTCTGTCCAGTGTTTTCTTGAAGACAGCCAAGAGTCTATTGGAAATTCCCCCTTGTGTATGCTGGGAGGCAGTTGAACAGTCTTGGACCTTTGACAGTTACTGTGTTGTCTCTCAGTGTACTTGTGGCTCCCCTGCTTTTCAGCGGGGGAATGTTGCATCTCCTGTCGAGTCTTTTGCTTTCATAGGGAGTGATTTTCATGTGCAAGTTTAGTACTAATCCCCCTAGGATTTTCCAAGTGTATATTGTCATGTATCTCTATCGCCTGCATTCCAGGGATTACAAATCAAAGGACTTTAACATTTTCCAGTAATTTAGGTGCCTAATTGTACTTACTACGTGTGCCGTGAAAGAACACTCTCCAGGTCAGCGATTTCACCTGCCTCGAAGGGGCAGTTTACAGCAGTATTCCAGCCTAGAGAGAACAAGCGATTTGAAGAGAATCATGGGCATGGCATCCCTGTTTTGAAGGTTCTCATTATCCATCCTATCATTTTCTTAACACATACTGTAGATACATTGTTGTGATCTTTGAAGACGAGACCCTCTGACATTATCACTCAAAGGTCCGTCACATTACTTTTTTGCTCTATTGTGTGGCTAGAAGCTGGTGAGAAGACCAGCTGTTTAGTGGCTTCATTTTCTGTGGTAATGATGATGGCCACCACGACAGTCACTGGAGGCAATATCCACTGTGGTAATGATGATGGCTACCACGACAGTCACTGGAGGCAATATCCACTGTGGTAATGATGATGGCCACTACGACCATCACTGGAAGCACCATTCTCTCTGGTGATGATGGCCACCACGACCGTCACTGGAGGCAACATTCTCTGTGGTGATGACGGCCACCACGACCGTGACTGGAGGCACCATTCTCTGTGGTGATGATGATGGTCAGCACGACCGTTACTGGAGGCACCATTCTCTGTGGTGATGATGGCCACTACGGCTGTCACTAGAGGCACCATTCTCTGTGGTGATGATGGCCACTACAACTATCACTAAAGGCACCATTCTCTGTGGTGATGGTCACCACGACCATTACTGGAAGCACCATTCTCTGTGGTGATGATGGCCACCACGACCGTCACTGGAAGCACCATTCTCTGTGCTGATGATGGCCACCATGACTGTCACTGGAGGCACCATTCTCTGTGGTGATGATGGCCACCACGACCGTCACTTAAGGCACCATTCTCTGTGGTGATGATGGCCACCACGACCGTCACTGAAGGCACCATTATCTGTGGTAATGATGATGGCCACCACGACCGTCACTGGAGGCGCCATTGTCTGTGGTGATGATGACCACCACGACCGTCACTTGGAGGCACCATTCTCTGTGGTGATGATGGCTACCACAACCGTCACTGGAGGCACTATTCTCTGTGGTATTTATGGTCACCATGACTGTCACTGGAGGCCCCATTCATTCAGGTGATGATGGCCACCCCAACCGTCACTGGGGGCACCATTCTCTGTGGTAATGATGGCCACCATAACTGTCACTGAAGGCACCATTCTCTGTGGTGATGATGACCACCACGACAGTCACTGGAGGCACCATTCTCTGTGGTGATGATGGCCACCACAACCGTCACTGGAGGCACCATTCTCTGTAGTGATGATGGCCACCATGACCGTCACTGGAGGCACCATTCTCTGTGGTGATGATGGCCACCACGACCGTCACTGGAGGCACCATCTTCGTGGTGATGATGGCCACACGACCGTCACTGGAGGCACCATTCTCTGTGGTGATGATAGGCCACCACGACCGTCACTGGAGGACCATTCTCTGTAGTGATGATGGCCACCACGACCGTCACTGGAGGCACCATTCTCTGTGGTGATGATGGCCACCACGACCATCACTGGAGGCACCATTCTCTGTAGTGATGATGGCCACCACGACCGTCACTGGAGGCACCATTCTCTGTGGTGATGATGATGGCCACCACGACCGTCACTGGAGGCACCATTCTGTGGTGATGATGGCCACCAGAACCGTCACTGGAGGCACCATTCTCTATGGTGATGATGATAGCCACCACGACAGTCACTGGAGGCACCATTCTCTGTGGTGATGATGGCCACCACGACCATCACTGGAGGCTCCATTCTCTGTGGTGATGATGGCCACCACGACCGTCACTGGAGGCACCATTCTCTGTGGTGATGATGGCCACCACGACCGTCACTGGATGCACCATTCTCTGTAGTGATTATGGCCACCACGACCATCACTGGAGGCACCATTCTCTGTGGTGATGATGGCCACCACGACCGTCACTGGAGGCACCATTCTCTGTGGTGATGATGGCCACCACGACCGTCACTGGAGGCACCATTCTCTGTGGTGATGATGACCACCACGACTGTCACTGGAGGCACCATTCTCTGTAGTGATGATGGCCACCACGACCGTCACTGGAGGCACCATTCTCTGTGGTGATGATGGCCACCACGACCATCACTGGAGGCACCATTCTCTGTAGTGATGATGGCCACCACGACCGTCACTGGAGGCACCATTCTCTGTGGTGATGATGGCCACCACGACCGTCACTGGAGGCACCATTCTGTGGTGATGATGGCCACCACGACCGTCACTGGAGGCACCATTCTCTGTGGTGATGATGGCCACCACGACCGTCACTGGAGGCACCATTCTCTGCAGTGATGATGATGGCCACCACTATCGTCACTGGAGGCACCATTCTCTGTGGTGATGATGATGGCCACCACGACCGTCACTGGAGGCACCATTCTCTGTGGTGATGATGGCCACCACGACCGTCACTGGAGGCACCATTCTCTGTGGTGATGATGGCGACCACGACCGTCACTGGAGGCACCATTCTCTGTGGTGATGATGATGGCTACCACGACCGTCACTGGAGGCACCATTCTCTGTGGTGATGATGATGGCCACCACGACCGTCACTGGAGGCACCATTCTGTGGTGATGATGATGGCCACCACGACCGTCACTGGAGGCACCATTCTCTGTGGTGATGATGGCCACCACGACCGTCACTGGAGGCACCATTCTCTGTGGTGATGATGGCCACCACGACCGTCACTGGAGGCACCATTCTCTGTGGTGATGATGATGGCCACCACGACCGTCACTTGTTTACATCAAGAAGATGAGTGGTGTAGGGGCGGTTGTTGTGGCTCTCTTGTTGACACTAGTGGCTGGGTGTTGTGGCTCTCCTGTTGACACTAGTGCCTCTCAAAGTTGTTGGCCAGGGCCACTAGTGATGGTGGTGCAGCAGGTGTGACCAAGCCATGGAGCGCCACCTGGCCACTGACAGGTTTATGGAGTTTGATGGTGACGATGATGCCTTACTCATCCAGAGGATCGACTCCAATGAGATCATCTACTGTCCTCCAAAACGAAAGTACAAGGTAAACTAGAGGAAGTAACGTAATTATCAACGATAGATTAGTGTAATTAAGCTATTACAAAACACCAACGGGACAGGTCGATGCATCTACGGAATCTTGGATACGTGATTTTTTTCCTTCAACTGGAATTTGCATGCATTACTGTGGCCCAGAGATAAGCAAGGTTAATACAGACCCTATCACTGCTTATCTATGTTAAGTTTTAATATATTTATCTTAGTTTTCACTTCTAGAGAGTGGCCTCAGGAGTCATGTCATGCCTGTAGAAATTTGCAGTTTTATTGAGATATTAATATATGTGGAAGACTGTATATAAATGAATAAAGATGCTTATACAGTGCCATGGAATTTCTGCAGTGCAGAAAATTATTTTGGATTGTGGTACTGTTGTCCGGGTAACAGGGACACATCAAGGACCTCAGTGCATTAAGTCACTTTTGGCTCTATGGGTTATTCTAGGTAATTTACATGTATGTTATTAGGTATGATAAATGCTCTTATGTGTACCTGTACCAGAATAAACTTACTTATATAATCTTTCTTACATCCACACCTCGCCAAAGTTTATTAAGCATTAAAATAAATTAAGCTACCCTAAGTTAATTCTAAAGTGTGTGTTGCCAGGTCCAAAATAAACTTACATCTACACTTCACTAAAGTTTATCAGCTATTACACTAGATTAAGTTCTAAACTGTGTGTTGCATGATGGTATATACAGTTGCTGGCACTGTGCAGTGCAAGTAGTCTAGATATAACAAATTTTATTTAAGATACTGAGAATTAATTACCCCAGTGGAAATAAGTCATTTTGTCTGACCTTTTTTTTTTTTTTGGGTTATCCTACGTAATTTATGCATATGTTACTGTGTATGATAATTGTACTTATGTGTACCTATACCTAAATAAACTTGCTAGGTTATGACTTAGGTAGCTTCTTGGTACTACCCTTGCTTAATGTTCCTTTTAACTTATGAAAATAGACAACTAAATGAGTATAAATAGGTACATCTGTTTCACACTCAGGAACTGGAGGATCAAGCCTCCACCATGTTTTGCACTGAATGACCCACATGGGTTTAGCACATAACATGAATTATTATTATTAACTTTTGATAATTTATTAGTCCAAGGCTCTGTATTGTAAAGTCAAACTTCCCAGATTTATGGTTATTTTTCTCGAGGTTCCACTGCTTTAGAATTAGGAAATAATGCAAAATTATGCCTTCTTAATAAATTTTGTTTCAGATTGGAGCTCATTTTGTGTTTCAGAGGACCTGCCTCTTTAAGTATTGCACTAATAAGTTAATATTGACATTCATAAGAAAGAATATCTAGAAGGAAAAAAGTTTTGGGCATGAGAAATAAATTAAGAACATTTTGAACAAAATTCTATGGGTAGTTTTAAGGGGTTGTGCTTCAAATCATAAAAAAATAGCACTACTAAAAAAAAAAAACATATTTCTGTTTGTAGGAGGCCCATAAGTAAAATGCTATGAAAGCAGTGGCTAGTCTCAAAAATAAAATACTATACATTACTCCATAAAACCTTTATGTGTACTTGGTTAGCATTACATGCAGCTGCAGTACTATTCTATAATAAAGTACATATTAGTATTAACAGCATAATACAGTTATGTCTTTGGGAAGGCATAACGTTTTGTCATATATTTTAGATCAAATTTGTTCCTTGAACCACGATCTTCCTTTCAAGTTGCCTCTTTTAACCCTCACACTGTCCAAACATAGATCTATGTTCACACGCATAGCACTCCAACCTTAATTTTCTCCATTTGAAAGCATGTAAAAAGAAATGTAGATCTACATTTGGAGCACTATGCATGTGAACATAGATCTACGTTTGGACAGTTTAAGGGTTAAAGTGGTATGTTTTAAGAAAATGTACATGTGATGTTAAACAAGGCTTGCTTACAACATTGCTCAAGGTTGTATAAAGTCACTTTCTGGTAAAACGCTGTAAATTTAGTGACCTGAAATGGCATAGTGGGCTTTCATATTGTACTCCTGATGAGTATACTTCAAGATTTGAAGTTTATTAAAAGTGAGTCGGGTGATGAAGTTGAAGCTTTCAACTAACCATAACCTAATATATGACAAAAGATATTCCATTAAAACGTATGTTAAGAAAGAAAGATAATTTCTTGGGCGAGCAATGTCATTGTTCATTGGAGTATCTTGTTCACTCATGTAAAGTCACTTGCCATATAATAAAGGAACTTTTCTGATAGACAATTTAAAGTTTAGGGCAGCTTTGATGGGAAAAGAACATACATTGTATATAATTTAATGAAGCAAAATTCCCAATAGAATTGCCAGTTATTGGCACTTCAGCAGTGACCTCTGGCTTACTGGTGCTAGACTTGAATGTTGTTACTGTATTCACCAAGTGATGAAACTTCTGTTTGTCTTTTTTATTAATGCCTGTAGTGTTCCTAAAGTCCATATTATTCCATACACTTTTTCTTTTTTAATGGCCTTAGCTGTATTTCTTCCAGCATACTCACACATTTTAGTTGATAAAGATACGAGCAGTGTTTAGCTTGCACGGCAGACTTATTCAAGTCTTGTTCAGACGCAACGTTGGCTTAAATAAAGTTTCTAATTACTGCTTTTGTCTTTATCATCTACAACTCGTCAGTATTCCCAATACAGTGGATCCCCGCCTTACGATCAGCTCCCAACTTGAACAATTATGTAAGTTTATTTTTGTAAGTGCTTTTGTACGTGTATTTTTGGGGGTCTGAAACAGACTAATCTAATTTACAATATTCCTTATGGGAACAAATTCGTTTGGTAACAGCACCCGAACAGACTTCTGGAATGAATTAATATCTTAAGTTGGGGTCCACTGTACTTTCTTCCATTACATACACACAAGGGCTGAGGACTCAGTTCAGTGCACTTCTTTCACAAAATTTTCCTTTTCTGTGGACACTGAACCCTCATTTCTACTCAAAGCTTTGATATTGGTTACAGCCTTTAGTGGGAGAGAAGCAGTCATGTTAAGTTCCATTCTAGTTTGACTCAAAATCCAGTTTTTTCATTTATCACTTAAGAAAACAGCAGAATATTCTTTACTTTTTGGCAAGCTTTACTAGCCTTTATTATTTTAACCCTTAAACTGTCCAAACGTAGATTTACGTTCACATGCGTAGCACTCCGACCTTGATTTTCCCCATTTGAAAGCATGTAAAAAAAAAACGTAGATCTACGTTTGGAGCCCCCCTCACGTGGACGTAGATCTACGTTTGGACAGTTTAAGGGTTAAAGCACTCTTTGAGTATTCATGGAGAATCCACAGTTTTAAATTAGCTAAATCATCATTCACAAAGCTTTGATGCACATTAAGTCAATAACCTAAATCTCAAGAGACAGTTTTCACATTTTCAATATTATTTCCAAATTAACCTCAGTTTTTGCCCTATGTTGATGCTTGAGAGAATAGAGTCTATGTTATCTTATTAATAAGCTCTGTAACTGTAGCTTCTCTCAATTTTTTTCACGATTCATCATCTCAAGAAACAGCAGGAGTTGTTGCTCTCTTCTTTTGAGGTTTCATTATACCTTTTTTACCTGCTGCTCATAATTACAGTATAGTACTCTCTTTCTCTCGAGTAAATTTTGGAACTGAGCGTTTCAACATTTTATATATCAGCTAAACTGATAAGCTGTGGAATTCTTTGTTATATGCTGCTATCAGACTTTTTCAAGAAATGACCCAAAGTTTTTTGTCCTACAAACAAAATGAGATTGCTCAAGGAGGCACAGGTTTTGAAGTTATTGTGAGTGTTAACATTTATTTTACTGATTTTTTAATTGTGTTTAGATGTACTTATGTACTGGTGTTTTTAATGATGCAGAATATATTTTGGGCCCAAGGATCTGTATAGTCCACAAGTCGCTCCTAAAAGATGAATACGTATAAGTGTTTCTCTTCTAACCTGATGTTTGAGCTGTGACTGTTTTCATTTTCTTACAAAACCTTTCTATTCTCCACCTTGCTACTCTGCATTCATTTGTACTTTTATCCTTCACAGTACGTGCATTCTAATTTCATATTGTTACAATCCTTATTAAATGAATGATGCATTTTATTTGCTCATCCATAAGCTTCTGGTCCTAAACAATTCTTGTGTGCTTCATAATTTTCACTTAAAATTTTCTTTTTCAGAGTCGATAAAATGAAACAAATTTACTTGTATGTGGTAAGGTGCGAGAATAAATGCACTATATCAGGATTAGCGTGTGATTTATGCATTTATAAGTTTTTCTTTACTCAGTTTCATGCCACCCTGAATTAGAGTAGGTAGGAAGGATTTATTTATCTGATCTTATTTTAAGCACTATAAAGCATGACAATTATATATAAATACAAAATACCTGAGCCTCCTTACAGTGTGCAAAGCTATCAAACCTTAAGTGTCATTCAACCTTATTGGTGAACAACTAACAAATTTAAATATTTTTTAATATTAGACCTTAGACTGTGGCAGTTGTCAGTTGTGCTTTGCTTGGTAAATGTTCTGAAGATAATTTTGGCAAGGCTGCAGCCTTCTTAAGCCTTAGAAATCAATTACAGAGTAGAAGTGTTGTGCATGGCTGGCCATTTTTTTTTTTAATTCATTAAGGTATATAAGACTCATTTTAGAATGTATTGTAATGTATTTGTTTGTTACATTTTTAGTTAGCCATCTCTTTATATATTGTGCATTAAAACTTATGCAGTTTGCTTGTTTGTGCCTTGCTTAAATATTCAACTCAGAAATTTTATTATTTTCAGGTCTGCTGCATACAGAATGTTCTGTCAAGCTTATTCAAAATATATATGGTAATTTCTGTTTAAACAAATTTTACATTTATTTTTAATTTCCCATGCAGCTAGTTCGATGTTGATGATGCTGTATACAGAATACATGCTCTAATGACAGTTGATTATTTTATGTAACTGACTACATTTTAACTTTGAAGGTACCAAAGACTA